CTACCTGTTCCAGGCCAGTCTCCCAAGGGTGGGGGAGGGGTCTGTGGCACGCCCAGCTGGTCCCTAGCACACAGGAGGGTGACGTGGGGGCTCAAGCAGCGGTGCTGCAGAACACCGCCTGGGAGACTACCAGAGGGGCTGAAGAGGCATCCTCTGGCCTCTCCTGGGGGATAGGAGAGAAGACAGGCGGTCCTCCCTCGCTTGTCCTCAAAGCTCAAAGCCTGAAGAAGTGCAGAGGGGGCCTCCCCAGTGGCGCAGCGGTTGAGCACTGGGTTGGGAAGCTGGCCGCGACCTCTGCGGCGCCAGTTCGATCCCCGGCTGCTCCCCGGCCACCGGAGGAGGGTCCCGCATGGCGCGCAGACCTCTCCTGCCGCCCGCTGCTCCCCTCAGCAGTGTCCTTCGGTCCTTCTGCCTGTTCTGCCTCCCGCTCTGGCTCTGGTGGATTCTCTCACCCTCCCGCGCTTCTGACTGTACCCAGTGCTTGTATAAACAAAACAAACAAACAAACAGATAAATAAAACATGCCTCTATTTAAAAAAAAAAAAGGAAGTGCAGAGGGCAGCGGCCACTGTAGGTGGTAAACACAGCAGGTGGAGGCCACTCTGTTCATGAGGAATTGATTTGCCATGGGAGTCCTACGTGTGAGAGCATGTCAGAGAGGGGCTATCAAGACCGGGGGGGCTGCTTTGACACAAAAAGTTCAACAGCATGGGCATGATTTGATCTGCACAAGCAAGGGGTTACCGAGAAGAATGCTGGAGCACTGTGGCCAGGCTGGGGGAGGGGACAGCGACCTCTACCTCCGTGCTGCACGATGCCACTTCCTACCTCTCACCCTTTGTTTGTAACCGGGCTTCTTCCTCTCTCCAAATCAACTCGCATCACACCCACCTACTCAGGGCCATCACACCCACCTACTCAGGGCCATTTACAGATTTTCCAAGCATGTACCCCCACTGCCTCATCTCACCCCCACGCTTGGTTCACTGTCCTCGGAGGACATGACTGGGATGACAGAAACAGAGCAGGAGTTCCAATGTGCCACATCCAAAGTTCCCACGATGGACGGTGAGTACAAGAAAGGGCCCAAACCACATGGTTACCATCTCGATGGCCAGAGAAAGCATTTGAGAAATCTAACAACCCTTCATGGTAACAATAGGAGTAGAAGGGAACTTCCTCAACCTGATAAAGAGCATCTATGAGAAAATGGCGGCTAACTTTATATTCACTGGTGAAAAACTAGAAATTTTCCCTCTTAGTTCAAGAGCAAGGAAAGGATGCCTGCTCTCCCCACTCGATTGTACTGTAGGTGCTAGCCAGCACAATTAAGTAAGAAAAAGAAACAAAAGGCGTCCCAGACTGGAAAGGAAGTAAAACTATTTCTGTTTGTTCATGACATGATCCTGTGTATGTAGAAAATCCTGAAGAATCCACTAAAAACCTAGTGGCACTAGTAAGTGAGCTTAGTAAGGTTGCAGGATCCAGGGTCAATATACAATAATCAACTGTATTTGTATACAGTGACAGTAAGATGAAAAGGAAATTGAGAAAACAATTCCATTTACAATAGCATCACACACAAAAAAAATAGGAGTAAATTCAACAAAACCATGAAACATTGTTGAAAGAAACTGAAGACGCAAATAGAAAGACACCTCATGTTCATGGCTGGTAGTTCCCCCTAAATTGAGCTATAAACTCAATGAAACCATGACAAAATTCCAGCTGGCTTCTTTTCAGAAAATGATAAGCAGATCCTAAAATTCATATGGAAACTCAAAAGTCCCATACCAGCCAAAAGTATCTCTTTTTTCTTTAAAGATTTTATTTATTTTTGCATAGAAGAAGTGGGGTGTAGGCCAGAGGTGCAGGGGGTGGTGAGAATACTCACCAGAGTGGGGAGCAGAACAGGCAGATCTACTGAAATATACTGCTGAGGGGAGCAGCAGGGAGTCAGCCTGCTGTGCCATGTGGGTCAGCTCCCTGGCCAGGGACTTCAAGGTGGGCCATGGCAGTAGTAGCACTGAGACTTAACCCCTAGGCCTCCAGGGAGGCCCACCTCAAAAAAAAATCCAACATAGAATTACCATATGATCCAACAATGCCAAAAAGAATTGAAAGCAGGGACACCGACCATTCACAGCAGGATTATTCACAATGGCCAGAGGTGGAAGCCACCCAAGCATCCATCAACAGGCTGGATGGAGAAATTCCATGTGCTTCAGTCATTTGATGGACTATTACTCAGCAATAAAAAAAAATGTAGTACTGATGTATGCTACTATATGCATGAACGTCGAACATGTTATGCTTAATGAAAGTGGCCAGATACAAAAGTCACATATATTGTGTGGTTCCATTTGTAAGAAATATCTGGAACAGACAAGTCCATAAAGACAGAAAGATTAGTGGCTCCCAGGGCGGGGAGGTGTTGGGGAAGATGGAGAGGGAACTGGCCAGGGATTCATGGGGCTCCTTTTTAAGGTGATGAAATGTTCTAGAACTAGATAGCGATGTATAACTCTGAACAGACTAGAAGAGTTGTACAGTCAACAAAGGTAGGTGAGTTACATCTCAAGAAAGATGGAGTTTTTGGTTTTTTTTTAAGCACTGTGAGTCATTCAGAGCAAAGGATCTATAACTCAAAGCTATGATAGACATGTGGGGGGTTCCACCTGAGGGGCAGAAACCTCTGGGACCTGGAAAGAGGCAGTGACAATAAGACTGGCACAGCAGTCACATGTCAAGTGGCAGGGGTACGCGAGCCTCTCTCCGTGCGGCAGTGTCTCCATGCGGTCCCTTACCCTGGTCAAACACAGAGGCCAAGGGGAGGAATGGGTGCCACGCAGGATGAGACAAGAGCAGCACCGCAGAAGCTGAAGGACACATGGGTTTAAGGAGTTCAGGGTCAGGCAGGAGCCCGTTAGCTGACCCATCTTCCCAGCCACAGTCTGGGCTGGGAGAAGTTCGATCTCCCTGCTGGCCTCAGACTCCAGGCCTCAGAAAGCTGGCCATCTGGAGAGGTAAGGGCTTTCTCTGCGTTCACTGTGTTTTTATTCAATCATCCCGTCTTCCTTTGATCTTCAAGGATGGTTCTTGTATTATAAACTGTATCCGGTCTGTGATTTGGCCCCAGCTTCTCTCTGCAGGAGCTTTCAAAGGGAGCAGCAGCCCCTGGGACTGGGTGGCGGGCAAAGGCGCAACCCAGAGCAGGCCACATCTGAGGGCAGAGACCATCCCCCCACTTGCCATGGGTTTGGGTTCTCTCTAGAGGAGCAAAGCCTGGCCCAGAACATTCCTGTCAGGTTCCCCTCAAGCCTTCTTCCCACCTGGAACCTCAAAGCAGTGCCCCCCTCCCCCACTGCCATGTGGAGGCGGAAGGGAAGGGTCCTCAAGTGTCACCTCCCAAGAGCAGCTCTGGTATCAAGTCTGTGGCCCAGGGCAGGTTGTCACTCCTCACGTACCATGCCAGTGGGCCTGACAGGAAGCACTAGACACAACGCCTCTCCAGGGAAGGCAAGAGCTTGCCATCTGAAGCAATGGTTCCAGAAAAGTAAGGATGTGATTTGAGGCCCAGCAGCCTGGTGCCTACTGCTGGGGTTCCACAGAACCGCCTCTAGATCATTCCGCAGCTGGATCTCCAGGCTGGGGACAGTGATGGTCAACAGAGACCTCCAGAGGCTGAAGGAAAGTGCGGGAAGGAGTGGAGACAGCGGAAGATCCGTGGGTGACAGGCCCCCTAATCGCTGAGGAGGGAGGTCAGGCCCGGCAGAGATGCCCTCTGCCCCTCCCTCTGGGCCTCCTGGTTGCCAGAGGATCTTGGTTCCCAGCACCAGTGCTGGGGTCCCGCGGCCCTGCAAGCACTCACTCCCGCCCCCACCGCCTGCAGGGGATTCCCTGCGGGTCAAAGACCCTTCTCGCAGGCCCACACCAGGCCGGCCGGCACTTGCTCCCCAGTCCTGACCACTACACCCGGGAGCTGAAGCGGCATACTTGCTGCCTAGGGTCTGCGCCCGGGTCTCAACTCCCTCTGACCTTGACCTCCCTGCTTAGCCTTGGGGAAGTGTCCGGCCACGCCGCCCGGAACATCGCGCTGGGCAGCTGGCAGAGTGCACACAGAAAGTACACGCACGCGGGACCGGGAGCCTCCACGCGCACACACAGACGGGGTACAGGCACGCACTCACGAAGTCACACCACGCACAGGCAAGGAAGACCCCTTCGGGGTCGTGGGGCTGGGCTGGGGTCGCAGCGCGCTGCCGGGCGTCTCCCCGTCCTCCCCGGGCGCGCAGTCCCGTCCACGCCCCCCGCGGTCAGGGCCGGAAGCCCGGCTGCGCGAGGACTGGCCGGGCACACCGGGCCTCCCAGTTGACCCCGGCGGAGGCCACTCATCCGAGGCATGGGAGGCCAACGTCTGGGCACCGCGGGAACGGAGCGCGGGTGCCGAGGCGGGCACCCCAGCCCCGGCTGAGCATCGGCGTGGCCTCGGGTGGCCGGCGCGCTCCTGCACCCTCGGCTCTCGGGGACCTGGATTTGGCGGTCCCCGCACCGCGGGCGCCCGGCTCCCTCCGCCGCGTTGGGTCCAGCGGGGCCGGCGTGCGCGGGGAGCGGAGCCCGTTGCTAAGTAACGTCGGTCGGGCGCCGGCGCCCTCAGCACCGCGCCTCGCGGCTAGCACGCCCGGGGTGCGAACGCGCCGGACCCGGAGCGAGCCGAACTTCCCGACCCCGAGCGATTTGAACCCGGGGCTCGGGTCCATCTACTCCGGGAGCCCACTGGAGGTGTCCCGCACCCCCCACGCCCACGTAGGTCCCCTCATTTGTGACGGGCTCCCACGGAGCAGCAACACCCAGAAATTGAGGGCGGCGATGGCTTCCTACCTCTTGTCTTCGAGCCCTCCAGCCCTCCCACGCTGCCAGTCCCGGCCCCGCCACCCACCCCCACCCGGGCCACCCCAAGGGGCGCCCGCGCCCCCCGCACAGCGGCCCCGCCGCCCTACCTGAAGCATCACTTTGTACTGCTCCTCCGGTTTCTGGACCACGCACATATTACATCCCATGGTGCTAGCGGGCGAGGCCGGGCGGGCGGGAGCGGGAAAACAGCTTTCACGGGCCCGGGCGCGGGACCTGGGGTCCCGGGCTGGGCCGGGGGCCATACCCTAGCGCGGGGGGCGGGGAAAGGGGGCACGCCCCCGAGGGAGGGGCCGCTCCACGCCCCTCGGGTTCAGTGGGAGCCAGCGGAGGCCAGGCGCGGGCATGCTCCCTCGCGCCCGGCCAGGGAAAAAGGGCAGCGGGGGATGGGCGGGCGCGCCGGGCGTTGCTTGGCGACGGCCCCCCAAGAGGCTCGGGGGCGCGCCGGGCCGCCGGGGGCAGTCAGGGCCCTTGAGGGGCGCGCCTCCCCGCCCGCGGAGCCCGCCGCTGCCGCTGCCGTCTCCGGCTCCCGCCCATGGCCGCCGGCCCCGGGAGCCCGGCGCTCGCGCTCCGCGGCCCGGCCCGCCGACTGGGGAGCGGCGGCGCGGCGGCGGCCCCCGCCCGCGGCCAGGCCCGCGCCCGCGCTCCCGCCCCGCCCGCCGCGCTCCCGGCGCTCCCGGCACCCGTCTCCGGCCCGCCGCCGGCCGCGCCGTCTCCCGCTCCCGCCCGGGCCGAGGGGCGCGCGCGTGCGCTCGCGGCGGGGAGGGGGAGGGGCGCGGGGACGGGCGCACGCGCGCGGGGGAGGGGCGCGGGCTGGAGGGAGCGGGAGCCGGCGCGGGAGGCCGGGAACGGGGCGTCGGCGGGAGGGGGCCCTGGCTCGCCGCGATCCCGGGCGTCGGGTCGGGGCGCCCGACGCGGCACGGCCGGGCCGCCCATGGCGGCCGGCTCGGGAGGGCCCCGGTGGGGGGCGCGCCTCCGGGATCCCCAGAGGGCTCGGGCGTCGGGACGGGCCCGCGTTGTCCGCGCGGCTACCGGTTCCTCCCCGCGGCCCGATCGCCTCTCCCCCTCCCTCCGGCTTCCCTGGGTGACACTTCCCTCCTGCTGCTCGGCGGGAACCTCGCTGTCGCTGACAGGGACACCTTTGTCAAAGAGAAGAGAGAAGCGGGAGCTGGGGCGGGCGCGTCGTGAGGCGGCGGGCGGAGCGCCCCGGGCGCCCCGGGGCCGGCGCACGCCCTGGAAGGGCCGAGCCGCCCGCCCGGGGCGCTGCCTACCTGCGTCTCCGCACCCCAGCCCGACCTCCAGCGCGCCGCTTCTCGCCCTCGTCTCCCGCCACCCGGCCTACTTGGGCAGACCTGGGGCGACAAGGCCTTTGCCTGGAAAGCGGCATCGCATTGACGGCTGGGGCCCCCCGGGACGCTGGGGAGAGCGACGGAGCCGCAGGCCCTCGCTGCCACGGTCACTTGCTTAGCTTGCTGCCCGCTAATTTCCAGGCTTCGGCCAGAGCCCGAGTCATCGACCACACCGGCCGTTTAATTAGGGTGGCGGTGGCTGGGAAGTCTCCCCCTAGGCCCTTCCTGCCCTCCCAGGCCGACCCCAGCTCTAGGAAGGGGGGGGGGGCACACGACACACCTGCTTTAGGAAAGGAACCCTTCCCCCGGGGCAGAGCAGGCAGCTCTGGACCACTTTGGCGCTAGTCTGGGCGGCTCCAGAGTGACGCGGTCTCAGGATGAAATCCAGTAAAAAGTGCACAAACTCACACTGCAGGGCACTAGGAGCTGCTGGCTCTAGTGTTCCTCAGATTGTCAGCCCCACACATAAAGAGCGGGCTTTGGTTGCCACCTCACAAAGGCCCACAAACCCGGTGAGCCAAAGCAGCAGAAACGTGTTGTCTCCATCCTAGAGGTACCGAGCCCAAAATCCAAGAAGTGGGGGCCATGCGCCCTTTGAAGGTTCTAGGGGAAGGTCCTTTGCCTCTTTTGCCTTCTTGAGGCTGCCATCCATCCTTGGCTCTGTGTCACATGGCTTTCTCCCGTCATGTTCCTCTGTCTGCATCCACGACTCACTTTCCCCTTCTCTGAAGGTCCCCACTCACCCCCCAGCATGGCCTCGACTTCACTCCACCTGCAAATAAGGTCACGTTCACAGGGGCCAGGTGGGGCTTGAACGTGGCTTTCTGGTCTGCACGCAGCCAAGTCCAGATTCAAGGCCTGCAGACAAAGACTACTTTGTGTTGGGAATGACGAAGTCACATAGCAAAGGGATGCGTGTCGGTGCCACCCGCGATGGCTGGAGACAATTCAGGAGCTCAATCTTCTATTTTGCTGCTGTCCCTGGTCCCCAGCCCAGCCCTGCAAGCTGCCCAGCCACAGAGCCCTGTTCACAGCAGTGACCCTGCCCGCTGGCTGCCCTGGTTGGCGCTTCTCAGGGAAGTAGACCAGGGAACCCTGTCCAGCTCCTCTTCCCCGGGAAGCCTTGGCCCTAGAGTGAAGAAGTCGCCTTCTTCTCATACGCCCCAAGCTTGGTACACGCTGCTCCCTTTCCGTGGACAATCCATCAGCGTCCTATCCAAAGGAATCGCCACCGCACCACAGCTTTCCTCTTCCAGGACTGTAGGGTTTCACTTTACATTTTGATCTGCTCTCGGCTTTGCAGTGACCTTCGCTGGCCAGAAAGTGCTGTCAGAGCCACCTACCGTCTGGGCACAGGCCTTGGTCCTGCAGCACTGCTTGAAAAGGCTGTCCTTCTCCATCGAGTGGACTTTTCTCCTTTGTCGAAGACCAGTTGACAAGACTTGGAAGGATCCATCTCTTCTATTCCATTTTGCAAAACTGAAAACCATGCGGAGGAAGTAGATGTGGAGCCCACAGGGCCTCTCTCGCGCTGCCTGAGAACATGCCACAGCTCATGGGAACGCACGCACTGACTTTCTAATTTTCTTTTTTTTTTTTAACTCAGAGGCTCAAAATCAGACTACTTATTATCCATCAAGTTTGTGCACTCAACGCCCTCTTTCATTTTGTTTACTTTAAAAATAAACCCATTAATACCCATGAAGTGAACACCCAACCCTGGCCCGGGGCAGTCCCCAATAACTTACCAGTCCTGACGCCTGCCTCCCTGCAGTGACCCACAGGCTAGATTGGCCACTCTTTCTTGAAACTGATAAAATGTACATAACACAAAACCTGTCATTTCAACTATGTTTTTTAAAGATTTATTTATTTATGCATACCAAGAGCTGGGGTACAGGCCACAGGTGTGGGGGGTGAGAGGATTCACCAGAGAAAGAGTGGGGAACAGAACAGGCAGACCGACTGAAATCCACTGCTGAGGGGAGCAGTGGGGTGAGGCAGGTGAAGTCTGCTGCGCCATGTGCGTAGCTCCCTGGCTGGGGATGAAACTCATGCTGCAGTGGCTGCAGATAACTTCATAGTGCTGAGTCTTAACCCCTTGCACCACCAGGGAGGCCCTCCTCATCTATTTTTAAGTAAAATTCAGAGGCATTCATTACATCACAATGTTCAATCATCAACACGGTTCTCAAGACCCTTTAACCACCCCAAACAAAAAGTTTGTGCCCTTGAACTACTGCGCTGCCCCTCCCCCGCCCCTGGTAAGCCCTTTACTTCCTGTCTGTGTGGCTTTGTCCGTTGTGGGTATTTGATGCAAGTGGAATCAGATGAGGATCGTCTTCTCTTGCCTGCTTTCTCTGTCTTCCACGGCGTCTTCAAAGTTCACCCACATGAATTTCACAGGGAAATCATACATTGTACAAAAATGAAGGACTATTGTAATAAATACATATTTTTTAAAAAGTTCACCCACATGGTGCCATCTGTCAGAACTGCCTTCCTTCTTAGGGTCAGACAGTACCCAGTGTTGGGACCCACCATGTCTGTGCATCCAGTCAATGGACACTTGAGTTGTTTCCCCTTATTTTGTGCTTTTTAATATAGCTGTATCATATATTTATGTATCCCTAAAATGATAAGTTTAGCTTATTTAATTTTATGCAAAAGACATCCCATCTGCAGTTTCCTGGGACTTGCTATTCTGTCTGCAGCATCAGATAGTAAGAGCTGGTCCGTGGTGTTGGGCATAGCAGTCGGTCAGTCCTTTTCACCGACACAATATTCCATCATCTGGTCACCCATTTCCCCACCGGAGGGTAGCTGGGCTTTTCCCCTCTGCATGGTGGCAGCAAGCATTTGCCTGCAGGTCTCCTGGAAGTGTCTCTGATAGCTGCTGCAGAGGAGCCGGCTGGTGGGGGGCTGTGCACAGGCTCCACTTGCCAGCTGAGGCCTGCTCCCTGCTCAGAGCAAGCCTCCCGACGCGTGCACGTGTGCTGGTGCTTCCGCGCTTCTTCCTACGCTCGAGGAGAAAACTGCCGGGCGCCGTCCATGTTGCTGCCTGGGTGTTTGGTAAAATTCAGCACCCGTTCCTCTAGCGCGTGAACACTAAACCGGGGATGTGCAGTGGTAGGTGTTCAAGGCTTTCTATAAGCAATGAGTTGCGTGGAACCCACACCAACCAGGTCCCAGATCACCCCTGCATGCTTGTCCACACATCTGGGGTCACTCCGAAGTGGGTCCCGGGGAATATCAGCAAAGATGTCCCCAAAGGGAGCATGTGTGGCAAGCCAGCAGAGAGCCAAGGGGCAGCCAGTCTCAGGGGGCACCAGAAGAAAGACCCTCTGTTGTTCTTGGCACAAAGGAAACTGGTACACCAGGGCTGGCAAGAAGCAGGTTTAATTGCACAGGGGCTGACTCAGCAGATTCGCATCCCAAGGCTGAGCCCGACTGTCGGAAGTCAGGGGCATATATGCACTTTCAGTTTCTACAAGGTTTCGCGGGTGAGGACCCACAGCCAGGAACCCGTTCAATATCGGGGCTGCTCTAGAACAGCTTCAGGTGGGTTTTGCAGCTGCGCATGGTCAGATAGGACGTGGCTACACACTGAGAGGTGAGTTGTGTATGTGCACACCAAGGAGTGAGTCAAGGGTCAGTAGTCACGGGACCCCCCAGATCCATCCTGCCTCATGGTTAACACTGGTGGAGGCATGTAGTCTGACAGGAAGCAAGATCCATGCCAGGAACTGAGCAAAAGGTCGTCACTCAAGACCCCCAGGCTGCTTATCTCAGATTGATGGAGGACAAGAATAGAAAGACTGGAAAGGAGGTGCCCCAAGAACAGAACCTGACTCACAAGGAGGTAGGGGTCGAGGGAAATAACATGACCATTAACCCAGCTGTAGCGATCGGGACCCTTAGGGACCAGTGCCTTGTCACAGGGCATAAGGCCCAAGCAGGGACAGATGCTCTAGGGAGTGGAGCACAGGCCTGGG